CACCTTCACTTTAATAGCATGAAAACAACTGCTTCTTTGCAGTTCTATCTCCTCTTTTATATTGTTGATGTTACAAATTAATCTTTTTTTCATTGTATACTAAATAACATGAATATATAAAGTGAAATTGCAAACCAAAATACACAATTATCAGCATTTATATTTGCTGATGTCATTACCTTTACTAGACATCATTTTTTCTGCATAAGTGTTTGAGTAGCTATCTAATATCATTTCATTTCAATCTGGGTCCTTTTAGCATTTCTTTTAGGATAGGGTTAGTAATAACAAACTCTTTCAGCTTTTGTTTATCTGGGAATGTCTTAATTTCTCCCTCATTTTTGAAGGAGAGTTTTGCCAGATATACAATTCTTTTTTCGTTTTTTTTTTTTTTCCTTTCAGCATCTTAAAGGTCATTCCTTGACTTCTGGCTTCCATGATTTCTGATGATAAATTGCCTCCTAATCTTACTGAAGATCTCTCCTAAGTGATGTGTTACTTTTTCCTCATTGTGTTCAAGATTCTTTGTCTTTTTTTTTAATAGTTCAACTATAATGTCTTCGTGTGAATCTCATTGGGTTTAACCTGTTGTAATTACTTAATTATGTATACTTCTTGGATATGTAGATATATGCCTTTCATCAAATTTGGGAAGTTTTCTGCCATTATTTCTTAAAATATTCTTTTTATCTCTTTCTCTTCTCTCCTTCTGAGACTCCCACAATGTATATGTTGTTTGTGTTATACATGCTTCTTAGGCTCTGTTCATTTTTCTTTATTATTTTTTCTTTCTGTTCCTCAGGTTGTATATTTTCAACTGTTCTACCTTCAAGTTCACTAATTCTTTCTTCTGCCTGCTCAAATTTGCTATTGAACCCACATAATAAATTTTTCACTTTACTTACAGTACTTTTCAGCTTCAGAATTTATTTTGGCTCCTTTTTATAATTTTTGTCTTTTTACTGACATTTTAATTTTTTTTTTTTTTTTTGGTGGGGGGAGGAAGGCAGGAAGGAAGGGAGAAGGACGGTAGGGAGGAAGGAAGGGATGAAGGAAGGAAGGAAGGGAGGAAGTGGGGAGGGAGGGAGGGAGGGGAGGGAAGAAAGGAAATCAAGCAATGAAAGAGACATTGCCGACCTGGATCTAGCGGTTTACAAGTTGATTTCTTTTTTTTTTGAGAGAAGGAAAGAAAAAAAAGTAAGTAAAGGAGAGGAAGAAAGAGGAGAGAAAGAGGGAGAGTAAATGGAAATATTGCTTTATTTTGAAAAAAATTGGGTATTAATAATGGCCAATCAATGTTTCATTTAAACTAATGGGTAGGTGTGATGTGGTATTGACAAGAATGTATATTTTGTGTATTTGAAGTGGGGAGCTCTATAAATATTTATTAAGTTTACTTGTTCTGGATCTGAGTTCAAGTCCTTGATATCCTTAATTAATTTTCTGTCTCATTGAATCTAAGTCTCCTATCTGGGTGTTAGGATCCTTAGCTCTTGTTGTTGCATTGATCCTTTTACCACTATACCTTTGTTGCTTTAAAATCTATTTTATCTGATACAAGAATTGCTACTCCTGCTTTTTATTTATTTATTATTTATTTTTGCTCTCCATTTGGTTGGTAAATCTTTCTCCATTCCTTTGTTTTGAGTCTTTGTGTATCCTTGCATGTGAAACAGGTCTGGATGTAACATGCCGTTGGGTTTTGGCTGTGTTTTTTGATTGGGAATTCAGTCAATTTAAATTTAGGGTTACTGCCATTTGATGTTGACTGGCTGTTTTATCCATTCGTTGGTGTAAATTCTTCTTTATGTTGGTGCTCTTTACTTTTTGGTGTATTTTTAGAAAGGCTAATACTGGTTGTTTCTTTCTGTGTGTAATGCTTCTTTCAGAAGCTCTTGTAAAGCAGGCCTGGTGGTAATAAAATTGCTGAGTTCTTGCTTGTTCATAAAAGATTTTATTTTTCCTTCAGTTGTGAAGCTTAGTTTGGCTGGATATGAAATTCTGGGCTGAAGGTTCTGTTCTTTGAGGATGTTGAATATTGGCCCCCACTCTCTTCTGGCCTGTAGAGTTTCTGCCGAGAGATCTGCTGTAAGTCTGATAGGCTTGCCTTTGTGGGTTATCTGACCTTTCTCTCTGGCTGCCCTTAGTATCCTCTCCTTCGTTTCAACCCTGGTGAATCTAACGATTATGTGCCTTGGGGGTTGCTCTTCTTGAGGAATATCTCTGTGGTGTTCTCTGTATTACCTGGGGTTGAATGTTGACCTGCTTTGCTAGTTTAGGAAAATTTTCCTGAATAATATCCTGAAGGGTATTTTCCAGCTTGGATTCATTCTCTCCGTCGCATTCAGGTACACCTATCAAACGTAAATTTGGTCTTTTCACATAGTCCCACATTTCTTGTAGACTTTGCTCATTCCTTTTTATCCTTTTTTCTCTAATCTTTTCTTCACGTTTTATTTCATTAAGTTGGACTTTGACCTCTGATATCCCTTCTTCTGCTTGAACAATTCGAGTGTTTAAACCTGTGCATACTTCTCGGAGTTCCTGTATTGTATTCTTCAGTTCCATTAATTCACTCATACTCCTCTCTAAGTTGTCTATTCGCAATAGGATTTCATCAAACCTTTTTTCAAAGTTCCTAGTTTCTTTACGTTGGGCTACAACATGTTCTTTTAACTCACCGAAGTTTGTTATTATCCATTCCTTGAAGAGTGATTCTGTCATCAGGAGGTGCTCGTTCTCCATCAAGCCTTGTTCCATTGTTGATGTGGAACTGTGATCATCTTTAGAGGGAGAGGCGTTCTGACTTTGAGTATTCTCAGCTTTCTTACGCTGGTTTCTTCCCGTCATTGTAAATTTATCCTCCTGTCGTCTTTGAAATTACCAACTTTCAGATTAGGTCTCTTGAGTGGACGTCCAGGTTGTTAGTTCCCAGGGCCAGAGCAGCGGCGTTAAAACTGATGGTGCTTTTCTGCCCAGGATTCTCCTGTCTGGCTTCCTTCTTGTTTCCGTAGTAGGCGACTCTGCCTTCCCGGGGCTCCAAACCTCGGTCAGAAGGGGAACCGGTCTTGTTTACTCTGCGCCGAGTGCTAACGCGCCTAGTTGCCGGCGGAACCGCTGCGCCGACCACGAGAGTCGCGCTGGCGACTCATGTGTTTCCACCACTGGGGGAACTTCTGCTCCGTGAGCCACCAGAATTTGTCTGAAAGTGTGGCGTCCTCTAGTTCTCCGCACCTTCCCTGAGAGCTGCAATCCTGGGATGTTAGCGATCGGCCATCTTGGATCGTTCCGACATTTTAATTTTGATCATACATTATTTTCCTAGTTTCCTTTAGTTCTTTGCCCATGGTTTCCTTTAGTTATTTCTGCATATTTAAGATAGTTGTTTTAAAGTCTTTACCTAATAAGTCTAATATCTGTGCTCCCTCAGGGACAAATTCTGTTCATTTATTTTGTTCTATTAAATATTATAATGTTCTAACTCTGAAAATTAGATTCTTCTCCTATTTTAGGGTTTGAATTTTTTTGTTTCACTGTTTGTTGAAGGCTGTAATATTCCATTTGTTTAGTGACTTTCCAAAAAACTTTGGCAAGACTATACTAGTTTTCATGTGAGATCACAGAAATCTCTGTTCTTTTAGCTTTTGTTCAGCTAGTGTTTTGAGAGAGATTTACTTGACCTCTAGGAGTTAAAAAACAAACTAACAAATAAAAAAACTTCTCCAGTTCTTACAGATTATTTCTGTGCTGGAGTACTTTTTCAACACTTAGCCAGGATTACACTGAGTCTGGAGATCATCCAAAGCTGAAAGTTTTGGGTCTCCTCTGGCCTTTACTGAGCATGTTTCTTGCCCTGGGTATGCACATAGCTCTTGCCCTGGCCATTTACATAGCATTCTATATTTTCCACCATACACAGATGCTTTAGACTGTCCTAATTTCTCCAAGAAAATTTCCTTAGCTTTTTTTCCCCAGGCTTTAGATGGTTATTTTATGTATCAACTGTAATCTTTTGCCCCAGGCAACTGCATTTTTTAGCCTTATAATGTTTTCAAGCAATGTGTGCTGCTTCTCTGCCCAGAGTGAGTTCTGTGTCAGGTGGAGCAGAGATGAGTGCCTGTATCAGTCCTTTGGGTAGTTCCCAGACAGGTTAGAAGAGACTATATAACAATTTGTAAATAAGACCTGCTCTGGTCCTTTTGTAACCAGGGACCAGGGTCTCCCACCAGGAATGCAGACTATCTTCAAGATTGCCACCGAGCTGAGCAGGGGGTAAATCAAGTGCAAGTAGAAATGCTACAAAATTTTCCTGTGATCTTAAAGTTGCCTTTTCCTTGATTCAGTGTTCACTTGGCTGCAGTAAACTTTTCTGTTGTTCAGATTACAGACAGTTTCTGCTTGTATTTTAATATTTCTGTGTAGATATGGAAACTTGGAGCTGCCTACTTCACCATTTTGCTGGATATCACCTGTTATTTGTTGTTATGTGTTTTAAAGCATTGCTTTTTAGTGACTACATGTTGTTTCATTGTATAGATGTACCATAACTTACAGTAAATGATGCTATGATGAACATTTTTTCATATCTCTGATTACTTTTTTATCTTAGGATAAATTTCCAAAGTAGAATAACTATATCAAAAGTCATGAACATTTTTTAGTCTTTTCATATTTATTACTAAATTGCCTTGCAGAAGGTTTACATCCATTTATTTTCCCACAAGCAATATATGAGAGGGTTCATTTCATCCCTTCTTTGTAATTTAATAGTTTTTCTGTATTTAATAGGCCAAAAATGACATCTTGTGGTTCTGTCTGCTCTTTTAAGAATTCTTCACATGACATGAATTTGAATCCATTGTTTTATTCCCTCAGTTTGTGATGTACTTTAATTTGTCCATTTCCTCAAATGTATGGTCCAATGAACTTAGGCCATTTTCAGATCAAGAATACCACATTTTCCTACTCTCATAAATATAAAATTTGAATTTATTTTATAGTGAATCTGAATGGTGCCTACCCCAAGCTGGTGCCTTTCAGACCTGCAGGACGGCTGATCTCTCCACCTCTGCTCCTTTCTGTAATTTTCAACATTCTTCTCAGCCTGGCCATGCATATTGTGGGCTTCATCCTGGTTCAGAGGCAGCCTTGGTATTCCATGGAGATGCATAGGTATGAGTACAGTCTCAATTTCAGCTTCTCACATTCTAATTTCTATCAAACATCCTCTGGCCAATATGATGCGAGGCAAATGAGTCTTCATTCTGCCAAAGGTTTTGGCTTTTTTAAGTCGCTTGAGCAAATTTTCAGTGATTGCTTCTTCTCTGTAACACCATTTAAGGCTAATAAATGTATCATTCATTCGTTAGCCTTATCTTTGCCTGTGTTATACAATAATGATCTATGACTATCTTTTAGATCTGGGGTGACCATGGATTACAGTTTACCTGGGCAGCCCCAGTTTAAGCAGCCCAGTTTAAATTAAGTGATGTCCCAGTGAAATTATTAACATCTTTCTTTTTCACCTTCAACACTATCCATGTTAGATGATAAGTTATATATTCACCCCATTTACAAATTATCAGAGATTTATCGTTGTGGTTGTTGTTGTTATAGAGACAGAGTCTGTCTCTGTTGCCCAGGCCGGAGTGCAGTGGTGTGATCTCAGCTCACTCTAACCTCTTCCTCCTGAGTTCAAGCAATTCTCCTGCCTCAGCCTCCCCAGTAGCTGAGATTATAGGCACGTGCATGTGCAGCTAATTTTTGTATTTTTAGTAGAGATGGGGTTTCCCCATATTGGTCAGGCTAGTCTCAAACTTCTGGCTTCAAGTGATCCACCCACCTTGGTCTCCTAGGGATTACAGGTATGAGCCGCCACACACTGCAAAATTATTAAAGATGTAAAGCCACTTGAGAGAGGAATCACAGCTTACCCATCTCTTTCTTATATAGCCTTAATGAACGTGCATAATTTGTTGAATAAATAACTGGCTGAATCTCTCTCTCTCTCTCTCTCTCTCTCTCTCTCTCTCTCTCAATGTATCCAAAATATGGATCTATCTGTGCTTGTTTTTCTTTTCTAATTTTCATTTTGTTTTGTTTTGTTTTGTTTTGCTTTGTTTTGTTGTTGTTTTTCCCCCAAAGCACAGGCAATTATAGAAGCATTGAGTGCCTGCTCTAGACACTGTTTGGTATGGAATCTTCTGGATACAAATGCTCCTTAAAAGCTTATCATCTTAGTTTATTACCTTCTTTGGTTTCCTTTTTAGTGCCTGCACAGTTCAAAATGAAAGCATCTCAGAGTTAACCATGTCTCCAATTGCTCCAGAAAAAATGGAAAGTAACAGTGCCTTCACAAGTTTTGAGAACACTACTATCTGGTTCTTGGGAACAATCAACTGTATTATTGTGGCTCTTGTGTTCTCTAAAGGAAAACCATTTAGACAGCCAACCTATACAAACTGTGAGTAAACTCTACTGGATCAGAGGTGTGAAGTCATCAGAAAGGAGAACAGACATGCCCAGGTCACTTAGTGAACAGCTGTAGAGTTGACTCTTACCTGGCCTCTCCTGACTTCCACTTTAGGGCTCTGCAAAACATATTGCACAGCCTCATTTTCATGATTCTTTGCTCTTTCTTTCAAAGCTGAATTAGATACTAGGGCTTCTTTCTCTCTTTCCTTCACCAGAAGTTGTCTCTGGGTGTCTTTTCTTGGGATCACTCCAAATTGAGAAGACCAATTTATTTCTCTACTTGTCAGTACTTGTTAGAATTCACCCTGGAAAGAGTGGAGAGAAGTGTAACAGAACTCAGGTGGATCCTGTCATTTGCCATGAAGGCAATAGTAAGGGTGGCATTGCGTGGTGGCACGCTACAAGTGGGTCCAGCCTGGAGGAACCTGACTAGAGAGGGTTATGGAAGCTCTTGGCCAGAGTACCTCCCTTCTACCTCCTTACATTCTGAAGTGGAAAGGTATGTTTAGACGAGAAATGAGTGGTCTGTTTATTCTCTGAGACATTTATTTGTATACCATCACTACTTTTCTAATCGAAAAAATTCAAAGCCCAAATCGAGTATCTTTACGAATATTTTCATAAAAATTTATTTGTTCAGAAAAAATTATTGAGCTCTTCCTCCTGGAATGAGGAAGCAGTTAAACACTGACGTCTATATGACAGCAGTTTAAACATTGTTTTATTGACAGGCTTCTTTTTTTCCAGAAAATGATTTCAGGCAGAAGATTTGCATTAAAGCAACTCAGATACTTGGATTTATTGAGCATGTATTTTGTCAATGTTACTCTATGTACATTTACTACTTTTATTTATTGAAACTTAAAATATGCACATGAAAATTTTCACTTGCTTCAAGGACATGAATAGAAATTGTAGAAGTGAGACCCACTGCTTAGAAATGAGTACCTTCCATCTAGTGTTTGGATGTAGAAAACGAGTAAATTAAATCAGTGTTAATGTAGAATATGTCTGTCAATATATGTGACATTTTTAACTTTGATTTCTCAGAATGATAGCTTGTGTTCTTATTTCCTCAGATATATTTGTCCTTGTGCTGATAATACAGCTTGGTGTATGTCTATTCATTCTATTTGCCGATATACCAGAATTATATAGACGTTTGGATGTAAGTCTCATCTTTGGAATATGATGATGCTTTACAGTCATATAACAGCTTAACTTCAAAAAGCAGATCACAATTGCAATTGACATGATTTTTGACACAAATTATTCTTTTGGGATGGCAGAGCTAAAAAGAATGTATTCATATTTTTTATTTAAACTGGCCAAGAGAGAAAATTCTACCTGGTTTTGATTTCATGAAACTAAAGATAGCCTTTAAGTATTGAATATTTTAATTTTATTTTCTTCTTATTATTTAAGGTACAGGATCTCACTCTGTTGCCCAGTCTGGAGTGTCATGCTATAGCTCACCACAGCCTCAAACTTCTGGGCTCAAGCAATTCTCCCACTTTAGCCTCCCAAGTAGCTAGGATTGCAGAAGAGTGCCATTATGCCTAGCTAATTAAAAAAAAAATTGTAGAGATGAGATCTTGCTACGTTGCCTAGGCTGGTCTCAAACTCCGGGCCTCAAGCAATTCTGCTGCCTTGGCCTCCCAGAGCACTGGGCTTACAGGCTTGAGCCACCGCATCTGACCAAATATTTTTATTTTAAAAGATCCCTAGTAAGATGGGAAAATCTGTTTCTATATTTTCTCTTTCAAATATGAGGGAATTTTTTCCTAAATCCTTCTGCTATTGAAGTTGTTTAAGACTATTTTGCCTATGGCTTTTTTTGGTTGATTATCACATAAGTATTTATATATATTTTTATGGCTTTAAAAATGTTTTCTGTGTGTTCATACTTAATCTCTGTAAAACTTACTTTCCAAGAACCATACTTTACCTCATAAACTCTCCTACATTTTACAATATTGATACAGCTATAAAAACCTACAAGATACCAACATTTTACATATTCAAGCCAGGGAAAATCATATTTTGATTTCTTTAACCTATCCTACTGTTATTACAATTTAATCATGGCTAAATGTTCTTTAGATCAATAAATGCAATATTGAAGAGATGACTAAAGCAATAGTTCTTTTAATTTAGTGCTTAGTATATCTGGTTGCCTCTCCATCTCAAAGATGAGTTTCATGAGGTCCAAGAATGTATCTTATTCATTCTTGTATTACCAGTGGCTTACACAAAGAATGGCCAAAAATGACAAAGGAATGATTGATCATTACATATCAGACTCCTAAATATAAACAAGCACTAAGAGGACACAGTGCGTTCCCAACCAGCAATACCCGCACAAACCCACAGTGACATTTGGCATACTAACTAATATCGCTAGTTTGGCATACTGATATATTTAGCATTAGTCTTTTTATTTTTGTGACTACTGTAGTTAGCAGTGTAATTAACACTGTTGTTAAGCGCCTTCATGAATTAAGTATTCATGGATATTAGGCTTTGCCCCCTGCTCTTCTAAGTCAGTTAAAACTTCTTAATCCTGCAGAAGTTAAGGATATGATATGATGAGTTGAGTGTCACTTTTTAATAGGAGAAGATTCTTACAGAAAGGCTGGTATAACAAAATACAGAACATATTTGATATAGAGAGAACCTGGTTAGGGCCATTGCCACCATGAGTGCAAAGGATTCTGCAAATAATTATTGTTCACTTTTAAAACAATTATTTTTCTTATCATTACATAAAAATATATGTTCTTTTTAGAAAATGTAGAATGTGCAGGCAAGGAAAATTATAACATTATTCACTATATTCTTCCTTCTTTTAAAATTCCTATGTTATAAACATATGTTGACTAATTTTTAGTTTAAAAAACTGAAGGATGAGATCACGTTATTTTACAACCTAGAAACTGCTTACTTAAAAATTTATAAATTATTTTAACAGAGTACACATTCATTTGGTTTACAATTCAAAAGTTTAAAAAGTCATGTAGTGAAAATCTCCATCCCGTCTTAGATTCCCAGTAACCAGTTCCCCTCTCTGGAGGCAGCCAATGACACCAGTTTATTTTACATACTTTGGGATATATTTTGTACATTCTTTTCCACATTGTTACATAAATATTAGAAAACTATTATATTTGCTCATGTCTGAACTGAGATCTGAGATGTAGATGTCAAGTTGAGTTGAGTTGTGCAAGAGATTTATTGGAGAAAATTCCCAGGGTGGGGGGCAGGAGAATAGAAAGTCAGAGGAAGTCGGGAGAGGCATCACACTGTGATGGGGGTTTAAGCTCTAAAAAGAATAGAGGAAAGAAGGAGGGCTGGGTGAGTAGCATCTCAGACTGCCCTACACTTCTAAGAAAGTCAGGCCAAAGTTGCCCATCAGGAGTTTCTACGTCTCATAGGAATGAGTCTGGTTAGAATCCATGCTGTCGCTGGGCGCAGTGGCTCACACCTGTAATCACAGCACTTTGGGAGGCCGAGGGAGGTGAATCACGAGATCAAGAGATCGAGACTATTCTGGACAACACGGTGAAACCCCGTCTCTACTAAAAATACAAAAAATTAGCTGGGCACAGTGGCGCGTGCCTGTAATCCCGGCTACTCAGGAGGCTGAGGCAGGAGAATTGCCTGAACCCGGGAGGCAGAGGTTGCGGTGAGCCGAGATCGCGCCATTGCACTCCAGCCTGGGTAGCAAGAGCGAAACTCCATCTCAAAAATAAAAAAAAAAAAGAATCCATGCTGTCCTCATTTCTTGGCTATGTGAAGCACATGACTTTATATATGCTTTACAGCAGATGTGGTAGTAGATTCTGAGCATAGCAGTTGGGGTATTCATCATTTATCTTCCCAGAAGCAGAAGATCTGAGTGGAAAATTTTCATGGCTGCTACAACACATACATAGTACTGCGCCTTCTTTCATGTAACAGTATTACTTGTTCCATATCAGTACATACATTTTCCTCATTCTTTTTAATGTTAATATATTTCATTTTATGTGAATGTGTTTTATGTATATGTTATATATATATACCATACTTTATATATACTCCCATATTGATAGACATTTGTTTCCAAGTTTTATTATTACAAAGCTGCAATAAAAATATTATTTTGCATGTATCATTTTAGTCATATACAAGTATATTTCTGAGATAAGTTCCTAGAAGTAGATTTGAATCTTTAACTTTGAGAACATTATCCTCTATAGAATTGTTTTAGTTTTTACTCTCACTATTGTATTGGGTAATACATAAGGCAGTGCCAGGTACAATGGGATGCCCTTAGCACTTTTTCAATCATTAATTCATCCATTGATGAATTCATTCACTATATGTATACATCAGGCACTGGGCCTGGAAGGGGATGGGAAGACAGAGAAAGTGGGCAAAGGGACAGGTCATGACAACCTTGATTTCAGCTCCACTTGCTCCTTTGGCAAGTGCCCTTGTGAAAGCACACTGTGCAGCTGGATGCACAGTCCTGAGGGTGAATCCCTGAGCCAGTGCTGAAACCAGAGCTCGGCTGGCACCAGAGAAAAGAGGGTGATGCTGCCCAATCGTGAAGGTTTGACATGTGTACCCTCAGGCCTCCTGAGAATAAAGCCACATTCCTACCTCCCTTTTGACAACAAAACAAAGCAAGCAAACAAAAAATGATTTTACTATTTTTTTCTAATTGCAAAGTGACCAAAGTTATTTTAGGAAATTTAGAAATTACAGAGAAACATACACATCACAAGAAAAAAAAAAGATAAAAGAAGAAAAGCAACAATCATAACCCCCAAATCATTAGGATCATGAGTATAAGCTTTCCATACTTTTTCTGTGCATACGAACATCAAAATTATTTATACATATAAGATTTATGTAATACACACGCGTACATATTACACATGAGATTTATAATCTATGAAAATGTATACTGTGAACATGTGAACATGTTTCCAGCATATATTTGTCTTCAGACTAACCGTGCTTCGTCATCTCCTGCCAGCTGCTCTGCACTCCCATCCTGTGGAGGGTCTCCATTGTCATCATGCTCAGCTTGAATTTCATTGTGTCCCTAGTGGCTGAGGTAAGTGCCCTCAGGCTGCTGCTCTTGTGTGTGTGTGCATGCATGTGTGTAGGGGGACTTCCTTGGGACTCTGAAAAGCTGACATGGACTCAGCAGTGCAGGGCCTCCCTTCCTTCACAGCATAAGCAATGGTGCATTCCTCTGAGTTCCAAGAAAGGCGCCAGTTTTCCCATCTGCCAAGTGGGGCTGGGGAGAATGGAATTATGGTCTCTGAGGTCCTATTCATTTCTAAAATGTCCAAATACTCAACACAATTTACTTTTTAAAATTGAGATGTGATTCACACACCATAAAATTCACCCCTTTAAAGTACACAATTCAGTGGTTTTTAGTACATTCACTGAGTTGTACACTCATTAACACTGCCGAATTGCAGAACATTTTCATCATCACTAAAGAAATCCTGTACCCACCAGCTGTTGCTCTTCATTGCCCCTTCCTCCTTCTCCTGGGCCTTGGCAGCCACTAATCTACTTTCTGTCTGTGTGGATTTGACTATTCCAGACATTTCATTGCAAATCAAATCATACAATATGTGGCCTTTTGTGTCTGGCTCCTTTCAATTAACAACTCATATCATTTTTGCCTTACAGATGGGAAATGACATTCATAGTGAGCTTTTCCAGCTTTCAATCTCCAGCTCCCATTTGCTCCATTTCCTAGCTTTTATTCTCCAGCTCCCCTGTGCCCCATATCCTCAGTGAATTGAGGTTGTGCTGCTGCTTTCTTTCTCCCTGTGATTCATGCTCTCCTCCCTCAGTACTATCAGCCACAATCTCCATTCTTCAAAGCCTGTTGTTAGGCAGGGGTGCCCTGAAAAGGCATTTATGAACAAAAGAGAGGTGAGATGCAGAATTCCATCTGCCCCTATTCCTGCTCTGAGTTACTAGAATTGTTCCAGCAAATGGACTGTTCATGGTGAGCCATGAGAACTTACAGCCTGACTTCCCTGCAGTATTGCGGAGGCAGGACCTCAGCGAGTTCTGCCTACTTACAACTATACAGAGTAAAGGCTTCACAGGAGCTGATGGCAGAACACGACATGAAAATTTCACTACTGGACCCTCTCTATGTTAAACCAGAGCTTCTCAAACTTGAGTGGGCCTCAATATCACCTGGGAGGCTTGTTAAAACAGAAATTGCCAAGCCCTTCCTGCAGTGTGTCTGATTCAATAGATCAAGAAAAAGTGTGAAAGTTTGCTTTTCTAATAGGTTGTCAGAGGATTCTGATGTGACTTGCTCAGGGATCACACTTTGAGAAGCAATATGCTGAACAATATGGTCTCTAAAGCAACCAGATTAATAAAAGAACATTATCACAGGTGTCCTCAGACCCAATGAAAGAGTGATGGTCTTTGCCCTTTAAAGGATAATCTAATGTGTACATCTTATCCCTGTCCATGATCACAGGATTTCCTCTATCTGGTGTATCTCTCCTCCATTTCTGCATATTAAAGTGCAATTCCATCCTCTAATGCACAGCTGTAGTATTATCCTCTTTATGTATCTTTCCTGATCTCTGAATCAGGTAGGCAAGTAGCAACTTAACTAACAGTGGCTTAAATAACAAAGATGTTTATTGACTCAAGAAGAAGATTGAAGATCGGTGGCTTTAAGACTGGCTTAGTGGCTCAGTAGTGTCATTGGGAATCCACACTCTTTCACCTTTCTGTTCTGCTATCCTTAGATGTAGTCTTTTATGTTTGTGCTTGTGGTTTTGGTGCCCAAATAGCTTCCACATAGCTGGACTTTACATCTGTTTACAATGCAGGAAGAAAATGGAAGAAGAGGCTAACAGCAAGCCAGTTTCCATCAAGTCTGAACCTTTTCTTGGGAAACAGACTTTTGCTGAAGCTCACCAGCAGACTTCCTTTCATACGTTATTGATTAGACCTGTGTCTCATTGTCATCACGAGTAGAAAAGGATTCTGGGAAAGCGGATCCATGTCAAAAGTTAGACAATTTGCCTTAGACCATTTATTATCATTACTTTTCCCTTTTAGGTGGGCAGGGAAGAGTTGGGAGGGAATGGGCTGTATGGTAACCAGGTATCCAAATCTTCCACAATCTTCTAGCAGGAAGTTCTTCCTTTTTCAGCATATTTGAAGTTAAGAGCACAAGCTCAGGGGTAATCTACCTGGGTTCGAATCCTGGCTCCACCACTTTCTTGGTGTCTGACTTTGGGCAAATTATTCCACTTACCTAATCTCTGAGCAGCCCAGAAAACAACCAGGTTTGAGCAGGACCTTATCCTTACTATGCCAATGCTCATGATCTAACCTCCAGCTGAGAGACAAGAGATCTAGTGTGGATAGCTTTAATTGCCCTCACCTTTAAAAAATTATTTATGTGTTTATATAGGTATGCTTGTATGTATGAGTTATTTGAGTAGCCAGTCAGAAGAGGTAATGCTGTGAATTTTGTTCACAGCAAGAACAAAGAAAGGTCTCACCAAGGCTTTCCTTTTGTTTCTAGTTGTATTAGTCCTTTCTCCCACTGCGGTGAACAAATACCTGAAACTGGGTAATTTCGAAAGAAACGAAGTTTAATTGGCTTATGGTTTAATAGGCTGTACAGGAAGCATGGCTGGAAGGCCTCAAGAAATTTTCAATCATGGCAGAAAGCAAAGGGGAAGCAGGCAGGTCTTACATGGCCCTAGCAGGAGGAAGAGAGAGAAGGCATAGGTGCCACATGCTTTTAAACAATCAGATCCGATGAGAACTCACTCACTATCATGAGAACAGCAAGGAGGATATCCACCCCTGTGATCCAATCACCTCCCTCTCAACCTTTCATGCAACATTGGGGATTATAATTTGGCATGAGATTTGGATGGAGACACAAATTCAAATTATGTCACTGGTTCTGCATTGTATTTATAATGTGTGGCAACAGGACAGATCACCTCTCTGTAGTTTCCTCTTCCAGAGCAGCAAGGTGATATAGGTCATCATAATTCCGGAACTAAAACACACCCAGGGCAAGCTGTAGCGGTGTAGAACGTAAAGTTTCTCTCTGTCTCTGTCTCTGTCTCTCCGTCTCTCTCTCTCTCTCTCTCTCTCTCTCTCTCTCTGTGTGTGTGTGTGTGTGTGTGTGTGTGTGTGTATACATGTGTTTTCATCTGTTTTGTTTGAAGTCTTGCTAAGGTTTCCTGGAAGTAAGATTTTAAAACCTTCACTTGATGTTCCTGCCTTATCCCAGCTCTAATAAGAGCTACTCTTTTCTTGTTAATTAAGAAAGAAAAGAAAACCTTGCTGCAGGAAAGTAGAATAACTCATCTGGCTAAGTTTCCAAGAGGCCGAGATGGCTGTGTGGATCTTTAACAGCCTGGCACTGTTATATAACTTTACAATGCAGGGCAGGATATAGCTCTCTCCCTTTGCCTACCCTTCTGAACTACTCGTTTAACAAATGGCTATGTACTGTGGTCCTGTTCACACATGCCTCTAACCTTTACCTTCACTGAAATACAATTTTAAGATTACAAAAGACATGTCCAGTGATAACACCTTAGATTGGTTCCGTGCTCAAGCTCTTTGTCCAGCTGGATCTAAGCAGCCATTGCAGTAGTGACTTATGATGGCCTGTGGAGGGCTGTAGCCTTAAAACACTCAATCCCTGATTGTGAAAAGCAATTCTTTTATTTTGCAGGAGGCCATTATTGAAAATCGAGCCCTGTGGATGATGATTAAAAGATGTTTTGGCTATCAGTCAAAGAGCCAGTATCGGATATGGCAGAGGGACTTGGCAAATGACCCCAGTTGGCCCCCACTAAACCAAACCTCCTACTCTGACATGCCGGGGTGTGGCAGAGGGGTGTCTTACAGCAATCCAGTATTTGAGAGCAATGAAGAACAACTTTGAAGGACATGTGATATCCAAGTTGATATTACAGAAAAACAATGACAAAAGGGACCGGTTTCATTGATTTTAAGAAATGAGACTCTTGCAACATCAGCTGGAGTTTGGGGATACCTATCAAATCATGGTGACAAACTAAAGTCTGTTTGATAAAATACTTTCTACAGAGAAGAACATTGACCCAGAAGAGTGCTTTCCTCTTGGCTCCTAAAGGGATGAAGGTATGGGAAGCATTCAGTGAAGGCAAGAATGGGCCAAGGATTGCCATGGAGACAAGCAGGCTAAAGGGGAAGAATATGTGATCTTTCTTCTTAAGACAGGGTAATACTTTCCTTTAAAAAAATGAGTTGAGGGGAAGTAGCACTGTGTATACTCATGGAGTTGTAACATGTTAAAGATCACTTTTGAATTTTTACTTCATCAATGGAAAAACTAATGCATGGGAAACATTACACCAACCTTTACTGTCTGGATTCTTTTCCTCTGTAGTCCTTTCCAGATCTGAGCCTTTTTCTTCTGCTTCTGGCCTTACCCTACGTATTATTAAGGATAAGCTCAGCCTATGCTGCAATATAAAAGCAATTCTCAGATATCAGTGCCTTAACGCACAAGAGCTTCTTTCACGATCCAGGTGACACTCTGGAACAGCTGTTCTTACAGCGGTGACTGCTTCACTCTGCTGGCTCCATCAGCTCGACACAAGGACTCTGTGTTTACTGTGAGAGGGGAAGGGATAGGCTGGAGATCACATGGAGGCTCTACACTGCCTCACCCCAAAAGTGGCACACAACTCCTTCCCTACTCATATCTCATTAGTCAGGGATTTGGCCAGGAAGCTGGAAAGTACAGTCTCCTGTGTTTGGGGATGCTTCATGGGCTCATGAGCTGTCACTACACAGGGTCCCCATGCTTAGAAGGGCCCCACGCTACTTTAACACTCTGCTGTTTCCATCTTAAAATTCTTAATTTTTGAACAAGGGTCCTCATATTTTCATTTTGTACCAGACCCCACAAATGATATAGTTGGTCTGGGATGCAGTCCTGGGAAGGAAAGGAAAATAGCAGATCAGAGAGCACGAGTGCTGTCCACTAACGTCCACTTCTCTTAACGCTAGAACTTACCCCATTTTTAGGAACCTCTCATGTCACATGGCCAACTCCAGAAATTTTCACTCCTCTGCTTTATTATTTTTGAGAAACATTCGTCTTGTGCCAAGGATTATATGGCACTATTGATGTAAGTTCTTACACAACCAGTATGTTTTTTAAGTCTCTGGCTTCAGGTTCCAGAAAACGAATATTTTCCTTATTTTATCACTATTACAATTTGATTATACTTGATTTGTTCAGCATAAGGAAGACTCAGGTTTTTGTTAGCTCAGGAGACAACACTGAATTCTAGGAGCACATTTACACATAATATTTTAAGGCAAAAGCAATATTTTTATTATGAGCATCAGATCCTAAGTGAATGTTCTAATCAGGGGTTAAGTGTCCTGGCCCAGGCTGGCTTTGCTACTTATTAATAGCATTTGCAAGCATTCCTTCCCCCTAACTGAGCTCTTGAGCATGGTTGATGGCTCTATGACTGAAGCTGATTCTGGGAACATGGTGTCTCCCAGCCACGAGGGTACCTTGTTACTTCTGGTTTTAAAATAGGGCTTGAAGATATTTCGGTGTTCCAAGACTGCAGAATCATTGCCTTTTTTTTTTGATACAGAAAGAAATGTTTCCTTTTGCAAAGCCAGCCTTAGCAATGATATGGCAGTTCTGAATGTCCTTTTCTGAAAGTGTTTCTCATTTTCCAAAAGTAGAGGGTTATGGGCAGGGGCAAGCTAGACATGGTTTGCCAGCTAGTCATGAGCAAGATCAGCCTGCACAGTTCATACTTAAATGTGCCCTTTGCTAAGTGTGTTCACCTCCATTAACTCACTTGAATTGTACAGTTGTCCCATAACTCATCAAGGAATGGTTTATCATCTCTACCACACAGATGAGAAACTGAGATTCAGGAATGGCAAGAGAAGATTTAGGCCTCAAATATAGATCTTCTGAGCAAACCTTATATTGCTTCCAAATACTTCCTAATTATGGAGCTCTAGCAGGGCAGGGTGCTTAGGGTGATCTCACAGTCAAGCAAAGATTGGGCAACTCTTTCCTAATACCAGGGCCTCTGTTCAAATGAATGCCAGTCATCCTGCCAGGCCTGGGCTAGAGGTGTGTTAAAAACGAAACCAAACCAAACCGAAAAATGATTGTCTGTTTGTCTTTCTGAGACTGAGTTGCTCTTGCCTTGGGCCTAAGTGATTCTATCCCTAGCAACGGCTGGCAGGGAACAGGAATAAAAGAATCTAGTCCTCCACTAGCCAAGCAGCCATAAAATCTTTGGGAAAAGAGACTCATTTTGAAGTCTGTATTCCTGGGGCTAACTACATCTTAGAAGCAGCAATTGAAAGAACAGGGAGTGCCTACCCTGTAAAAAAAACAGGGGACTGTGAAGGGTTATTCTGAGAAAGAAGGATCTGATTTGTGCCAGGTGGCATGAGAAGGCAGAATCCAGACAAGTGGGTAAAGATCACAGTGGGGAGGGCTTCAGGCCATCTGCCCTAACCACTGTCCTAACAGCCAGCACTGATACCAGTGGAATGTACTCCATGACATTGAAGGAACAAGTGGCTATTCAGAGGCCAATTAGAGAAGGAAGTCAGGTATCAGATGAAACTCAATTACCTGCGAGATCTCTTTCAGGCTTGATATACCCAATGTCTCAGTCTTATGCTGTGATGTGAACCATTTTCTACTGCTACCCACACAGAATACCAGACTGGCCTTGTACCTTGAAAGGGGATCTTACCTCCCTAGTGGAGATAAGATGCTAGGAAAGAGGTGCAGAGTGAGGCATTTTGATTGACAGATTGAATCTGGGGAATCAAGTTCAATCTGATTTGTGTATTTTCTTAAAGAGAGGTGTTTAAAATCTTTGCATGAAAGAGCATGGGAGAGTGCCCTGAACTTGAAGGCAGAGCAAGCTGTTATCAATACACTTTCTTGACCAGACTCTGAAGGAGAATAGAACACAGTCACATAGTCCAAATCATTTGAGACAGTGTCCTGTATGTTCATCCCAAGGCGCCTAGCTCTTACCCACAGAGAACCCTCACTCTGGGTTTCCCTCACTAAATATGTCATGATCTGAGAATGGAAATACATGCGTGCCATCTGTATCTTGTGTGCTTATGGAGATGTTCATGTACACGTAACCTGCAGATGTGTTGATCAAAAGAAAGTGATTATTTATTCAGAGCTTTGTATCTAGTTTATGCTATAATAAATTATTCTGTACAAAAGAGTCACATAAAATCTATAATTCAGTTGTCATAAAAATCAATCTCTCTCTGCAGTGGAGTCTTTCACTCTGTCTAATAAAATGGTTTACTCCAGTAATGTTGAATCAAACAACATCTTTACAAAGTTCCAGCCATTTTCTAACAACACAGATGCTGTTTTTCTCTGCTTTATACACAGGGCATTAGAGTTTACAAAATACTTTCATACTTCTTCTTTCATTTAAGCCTTGTAACAACCTTAGGAGGAAAGCAAGGCAAGGATTATTGTCCTTTTGATGAGGTACAAGACTCTCCAGACGGCTCAGCAACTGGATCTAGGGCAGACGACTCGTACATGGAGAAGCTGGATTCAGACGTAGGTCCTTTATCAGCAATATCCCTGCTGTGTCATACTCCCATGTTGTTTTTCCTGAATGAAAAAAGAAAAAAAAAACTATAGCATAGAAAAAACAGATGACAGCAAAGGACGTATCCAATGTAATTGCCATCGTGAGCACAATTTCTTCCAGAAAGATATTTTGGTGTCTCATGAAAGTTCTCTTGAACCTGACCATCAATCACAGAAAAGGTCAACTCCAACAGCTGAGAGAGTAAAATCATAGTACCAAAGCCTCGTGAGCCTATTTCATGTGATCAGATAAAGCTCTGGTTTTTTACTTCAGTCTCCAGAAACAGAAACCTATATCCCTGCTTGATCTTATTCAGACCTGCTTTCCACAGCTTTTCAGGTTCCTATAGAATCTCTTTTGGCTTTGAAGTATGCTCACTTCTCTATGAATAAACAACTTGAAAACTGCTGCCCCATAATATTCTGTCTGCCCTTTGGTTTCCACTAGACTTGTGAACAATAACCTTTACACTTTGTTAATAAAATGATTTTCTTCAAAATTGAACAAAGATAAAATTAACAACAAAACATAACTCTCCCAGAATTGATCAAAGAGCCTTAGGAGTGAACCACCTGGCTTCGTCAAACACTTCCATCCTCAGGAAGACTGCATTTGCTATCCTCTTTGCCTTGAATGCTATCCCCCACCAACCTCCTCTTCCCATTGCTGATTCCTTTTCCTTCAGATTTCAGCTCACTTGTCACTTCCTTTAGAAGCCTTCCATGACCACTTCATCTAATGTTGCTCTTTCTGCATGATGCCTGTGCCACCGTTCAGATGACTGAGGCTGAAAGAGTGCTACTTGTTCAAGATCACGTCAAGGGGAAATGAATGATCTGAGTCTATAATCTAGATCTACTGACTTCCAAATCAAGGTTATTTACATTCTTCACATCTAGCCAGATTCTTCCAATTAAATTAGCTAATCTGTCAAGAAAGAGAATGCAGGATGCTGCAGACCATTGTCCATGGTTGGATGAAAAACAGTCTAAGAGTCATCCAGACTCTCCCAGCTCTTTTCCCTGCTGTCTTCTCTTGACTTCCCCTAAGTGTTTCAATGCCATGAAAAATGTGATGAGTCAGTGACTTGTGATAAAGGCTGCACATATAGTTGCTACAGAAATTCTGTTGAATTTAAAATTGTGGATAAAGGGGGTTATACTGCAGAAAGGTCTCACATGTGTTGTATGTATTGCACACTGTACAATCCTAGGATGGACCATTCATATTGTACTGCGAGCCCAGGGCGATGGTTCTGGATTATATCAACGAAGTTTTGTGGGTAAACGATGGCTTTTACTTTGTAATTATAAACACATATATGCAATGGAAAGTTCCACCTGTGCATGCTACAAACAGTTTCTACATCTTTAGACCGTCTCTTGGCACTGTCTCTCATGCAGAACTTCCCTCCTCTAAGCCCCTGGTTGCCACCTGCCTGATTACAAACGCCTCTTAACTAGTCTCCCTGAGATCTTTCTTCCATTTTCATTCTCAAAGTCTCCATCTATCCTATTGCACAACTCTGATGATGTTATGTCCATGATCAGAAACCCTTAATGGTCTGAATTGTCTACCAGATAAAGTACACATTGCTTACTAAGGATTTCAAGTCCTTCTCTACTGGCCACATCTGATTTCATCTCAGATCTTTTCCCTTATTGAATTCTGTACTTCAGCAAACTGAATTTCCAGCAATACTCCCAGTATTCAGTCCTCACTTTCCCACCTCAATAGCTAATAAGGTTTGGCTCTGTGTCAAACCAAATCTCACCTTGAAGTGTAATCCCCAAGTGCCAAGGGTGGGAACCAGGTAGAGGCAATTGGATCATAGGGGCAGATTCCCCCATGCTGTTCTTGTGACAGTGAGTAAGTCTCATGAGATCTGATGGTTTTATAAGTGTCTGGCATTTTCTTCTCTAGCACTCACTCTTGCTGCCCTGTGAAGAAGGTGCCTGCAGCTGAGCACAGTGGCTCATGCCTGTAATCCCAGCACTTTGGAAGGTCAAGGAGGGCGGATCACCTGAGGTCAGGAATTTGAGACCAGCCTGGCCAACATAGTGGAACTCCATTTCTAATTAGCTGGGTGTGATGGTGCATTCCTGTAGTTCCAGCTACTCGGGAGGCTGTGGCAGAAGAATTGCTTGAACCTGGGAGGCAGAGGTTGCAGTGAGCCGAGATCATGCCAGTGCATGACTGCACTCCAGCCTGGGTGGCAGAGCAAGACTCTGTCTCAAAAAAAAAGAAAGAAAGAAAGAAAAGAAAAAAAAGATGCCTGCTTCTCCTTTACCTTCTGCCATGATTGTAAGTTTCCTGAGGCTTTCCCAGCAATGTGAAATTGTAAGTTAACTGAATCTCTTTCCTTTATAAATTACCCAGTCTTAGGTATTTCTTCATAGCAGTGTGAAAATGGACTAATACAGTAAATTGGTACCAGAATGGTAGGGTGCTGCTGTAAGGACACCTGAAAATGTGAAAGTGATTTTAGAACTGAGTAACAGGCAGAGGTTAGAACAGTTTGAAAGGCTCAGAGGACAGAAAGATGTGGGAAAGTTTGGATCCTTCTAGAGATCTGTTGAATGGTTGTCACCAAAATGGTGATAGTAATATGGACAATGAAGTCCAGGCTGAGGTGGTCTCAAATGGAGATGAGGAACTTTTTGGGGACAGGAGTAAACCTGACTCTTCCTATGCTGTAGCAAAGAGACCGGTAGGCATTTTGCCTCTGCTCTAGAGATCTGTGGAGCTTTGAACTTGAGAGAGATGATTTAGGATATCTGGCAGAAGAAGTTTCTAAGCAGCAAAGCATTCAAGAGAAAGCAGAGTGTAAAAGTTTGAAAAATTTGCAGCCTGATGATGCAATAAAAAGGAAAAGAAAACAGTTTTCTGGGGAGAAATTCAAGCCTGGTGCAGAAATTTGTCATGAGTAACATAGGAGCTGAATGTTAATCACCAAGACAATGGAGAAAATGTCTCCAGGGCATGTACATGGGGAAAATGCCCTTCTTGACAGCCCCTCCCATCACAGGCCCAGAGGCCTAGGAGGGAAAAATGGTTTCCTGGTCTGAGCTCCGGGTCCCCTTCCTCTGTGCAGCCTCCAGACGTGGTGCCCTGAATCCCAGCGACTTCAGTCTTAGCTGTGGCCAAAAGAGGCCAGTGTACAGCTCAGGCTGTTGCTTCAGAAGGTGCAAGCCCTAAGCCCTTGTGGCTGACCCATGGTATTGGGCCTGTATGTACACAGAAGTCAAGAATTGAGATTTGGGAACCTCCACTTAAATTGTCAGAGGATGTACAGAAACACCTGGATGTCCAGGCAGATGTTTGCTGCAGGGGTGGAGCCCTCATGGAGAACCTCTGCTAGAGCAGTGTGGAAGGGAAATGTGGGGTTGGAGCCTTCACAAAGGGTCCCCATTGGGACACTGCCTAGTGCAGCTGTGAGAAGAGGACCATCTCCAGACCCTGGAATGTCAGTGGAGATCCACTGACAACTTCCAGTGTAAGCATGGAAAAGCCACAGGCACTAAACACCAGCATGTGAAAGCAGTCAGGGGGAGCCTATACCCTGCAAAGCCACAGGGGTGTAGCTGCCCAAGGCTGTGGTAGCCCACCTCTTGCATCAGCATGACCTGGATGTGAGACATGGAACCAAAAAAGATCATTTTGGAATTTTAAGGTTTGATGACTGCCCTGTTGGATTTTGGACTTGCATCCTATAGCCTCCTTTGTTTTTGTCCAATTTCTCCCATTTGGAATGGGTGTATTTACCCAGTGCCTGTACCCACATTGTATCTAGGAAATAATTAACTTGTTTTTGATTTTATAGGCTCATGGATGGAAGGGATTTGCCTTGTCTCAGATGAGACTTTGAACTTAGATTTTTGGGTTAATGTTGGAATGAATTAAGATTTTGGGGGATCATTGGAAGGGTAAGATTGTGTTTTGAAATATGAGGACATGAGATTTTGGAGTGTCCAGGGTTGGAATAATATGGTTTGGCTCTGTGTCCCCACCCAAATATCATCTTGAAGTGTAATCCCCATAATCCCCATGTGTCAGTAGTGAGATCAGGTGGAGGTAACTGGATCATGGGGGCAGCTCCCCCCATGCTGTTCTCATGCGAGTGAGTCTCACAAGATCTGATAATTTTATAAACATCTGACATTTTTCCTGCTGCTACTCACTCCATCTTGCTGTCCTATGAAGAAGGTGCCTGCTTCTCCTTTACCTTTCATCATGATTTTAAGTTTCCTCAGACCTCCTTAGCAATGTGGAACTGTGAGTCAATTAAATCTCTTTCCTTTATAAATTACTCTGCGTCGGATATTTCTTCATAGCAGTGTGGGAATGAACTAATACAATACCTTGGCTCATGTTCTCTCTTTTGAGGCATCAGTAATTTTTACTTTTATCTTGACACATCCAAATCCCACCCATTTCTCAATATTAATATCCCATTAGAATACCATGTGACCTGCCAAGCCAGAAAGGAGCTCTCTTTCTCCACACAGCCATCACATTCTACATATCTATTCATTGTGTGTGGCGTGCATTTTTTTTTTTTTTTTTTGCTTTGCATCATAGTCCGGTAGTATCTTAACTTCCCACATCTCCCACCCAACCCCACTTCAATAGAGAGTACATTCTCTGAGGGT